AAGAAAAAACATGAGAAAACAGAGGATGGGAGTTTATGATTGTGTGATACTGCACAGCTGGATGGTAATTTCACTGCGCTGTTCCCAAACTTCCTCCCCACCAGTGGTTACTATCTCTACCATCATCACATGTGCCCACTTATTATGAAAAATGTTCTAAAATTTGTGTAAAATTCCTGACACACTTTCTATATGACTTCCGACAGTATTTGGACTGCATCTTAGTTTACTGCTGTCTTTGTTTTATGTAGTGGGAAGAACATGTTCCCCCAAGTCTGACGATAACCTAAGACGGAGAGTGAGTAATAGAAGGACGAAAAATACATTTCAGCTTCAGTGGAGTTGGAGATGCTGCAGGAGTTACTCCACTGTTGATACGAACAATAAAACGCAAAATAATGACTAGATCACAACCCTCACATGGTCAGCTGGTTGGTTTTATGATAAAATTGAGTCATTAGGCTAAGAAAATGAATTATTTATCATTCCAACCCTCCCTACCCAGAATTAGTAGATTTAACTGTGGTTATTTATTAAAATACTGATTACTGACTAGTGATCTCCAATTAAACTTCATGACATCACACCGTGCCTGCAAAGCACCATCCAACTAATTCTGGCTTTCAGACTGTCTTTAGCCAAGAAATCCTAGTCAACCCTATTTAGCACTGAAGCTGAAATGTATTTTTCATCCTTCTATTACTCACTCTCTGTCTTAGGTTATCGTCAGACTTGGGGGAACATGTTCTTCCCACTACATAAAACAAAGACAGCAGTAAACTAAGATGCAGTCCAAATACTGTCGGAAGTCATATAGAAAGTGTGTCAGGAATTTTACACAAATTTTAGAACATTTTTCATAATGTGGAAGTTGGATAAAAATGTTGATGTTACTAGTATTTCTAGGCTAATGCGTAATGTATATTAATCTTGAAATGCATAAAGAAATACTTTGGAGGGAGAATTATAAAGAAAAGATGTACCAGGAAAGAAAGGTCTCATTAGGAATGACTCTTTGGTAAACTAATGTGTTAGAGGGGGAAAAAATGCTTGACCACTAATGACTTGGTTTCTTTACCTGGAATTGTAACAGGATTCCAGGGTAAGTGTACAGAAAAAAACACCACAGGTGATATTCATTCATGGCCCAATTCAAAAGAAAGCAATTACAATCAATTATTTAAAACCCAGAATTCTCAGGATGTCATCCCTGGGGCTTGTTGTAGTTTTTGTTTGTTTATTTGTTTGTTTGTTTGCTTGCTTACTAACTTATAGATGAATGACAAAACTCTGTGATATTATGGAGAAGAACCAGGAAACCATTTTGTGCTACACAGCGCCTTATTGGTTCTCTCCTTCATTCAGTAACTGGATCTTTCATTTTTCTAGCATGTATTTATTGAATTCTTAACATTTGAAAGGCTTAAAATGAGTTGCACGGTTTGCATTTACAGAAAGATATGTCCCCAAACTGTAACGATTTGGGTAATAATGACTATCAAGAGTAAGATATTGGGGCGCCTGGGTGGTTCAGTCATTAAGCGTCTGCTTTCAGCTTGGGTCATGATCCCAGGGTTCTGGGATCGAGCCCCTCATCAGGCTCCCTGCTCAGCAGGAAGCCTGCTTCTCCCTCTCCCACTCCCCCTGCTTGTGTTCCCTCTCTTGCTGTGTCTGTCTGTGTCAAATAAATAAATAAAAAATATTAATAAAAAAAGAATACGATGCTAAGCAGAGCCTTTTGAAAAACGTAATCATATTTAATTGAACTTCTCTAAGAAAAAGTGACATTTCACAGTGAAAACATAACTTATTATTTTTAGAATAAGTTTGTATTAAAAACTAAAGCTTCCATCATTAAGTATTCCTTTTTGCTGAAAATAATATGTCATTGCTTTAAAACTTTCTTACATCCATACTTGAAAGTTGGAAACAGAATTTCTTAGCTTTTTAAAAGACTTTCCAAGATGTCTTGACACCTACAACCCAGATTGTGGTTTCCAAGCACTATTTTCCAAAAAAAAAAGTGGTTTGAATCTAGGCTTAAGAATATAAAAATTCAATGACGTTTGATTATTTTTCAAAAACATTAATTGATACCAGGAAAAGAGAAATTAAGAAGCTCAATTTTATTGAAAAATTTTACATAATTGAAACTGAGATTGAAAATCAAGAATCATTTTTCATAAATCATTTTATTTAAATCTTTATATTCTCAAATATTGTCTTACCGTGATAGTCATTAAACTCAAATATTAAAATAAACCAAATTAAGAAATAGACTTGAATTCTCAAAATAATAAAGTAAATTCAATCATCTTACTCTCACTAAAAATAATGCACTAATTGTGCTAGTGAGAGCAAAGAACTGTTTGTACTATTAATAAAAAATTAAATTTTATATTTATTTTATCTTTTAATATTTCTGAGATTATGAACATTTTTAAAAAATATGTAATATGTTATATTACCATGTGTACATAATTTTTTATAAAAAACTAGCTATATATTGGGAGTGCTTGCTGAAAAATGGTACTGATAAGGGTGAGAAATCAAAAAATTTGAAATATCAATTCCAAATAAGCATGTCATTGTTGTGTGAGAGTTTAGAGAGAAAGCAGGGATAGAGCCTCAGAAACTACCCTCCAATCCTTCTAACCTCCATCCTCCCAAATCCACAGGAAACTGTTTTTGTGCCATGCATCTAATTGTCACATTATCAAGTCAATGTGGGATGCTTTGTGGTATGATTTAGAACAGAGAGCAGAAAAAAACAGCGACTGCCTGGAGTAGGGACCCCAGCTCTTTTACTATTAGTATTCCACTTCTCAGTCTATGTGATCAGATATCCTCCTTGAAAAGGGAATTAACTGACACTGAGACAGATTGTTTCTAGCTCTTGGCAGAGCAAAAATACAACTTGGAGGGAAAAAAGCCTGCAGAGCTCCATGCCCAAAGCTATGAAAATTTGGAAACTCCAGAAGGGTTGGGCATGCAGAGAAATAGGGATTCTTTCACAGAAGCACTAGAAAAACAAGGATCTTGGGAAGACGGTTGTGTCAAATTATCTGGAGAAGGAACGATCCAAGGAGCATCTACACACCTCTGCCCACCACCCCAGCGGGAAGAGACTTCAAGAGGCTTTAACAAGAGAACTAGACGAAGGGGCACATCACCTGGTTTTCTCCCCTCCACGCCCACTTTTCCCCACCTGTACTTAAAATGCTTAATGGGAGAGATTATTCAAACCCTTTCTTGAAATAAATGTTTAATCCTTGTGCAGCTGAGGCAGATGAGGTAATATCCAGGGCAGACAGATGAAGGGAAAGGCTTTTCCCCCCAATCTGGAGGAAGCGTAAGGACAAGCTAGTAACAGCAGAGGCAGATCCAACGGCAGAAGCCATGGAGTCTGTCTCCCTGACCGTTCTCCCAGCAGAACTAGATTCACATCCCAAGATCCTGAGGAAAAGGGGAGGAGGAGGACCATGGTGACCATGGAAATGAATTACTGAAGAGATTTCATCAACTCACTGAATGATTCTAGTCTACCCCCAACAGCAAGAGGCTAGAATAGTGATGGGGAAAGAGCAGCCCATTGATCTTCTGCACAAAACACAAAAACTAATTTCAGAATAAAAGATTAGATTCCTTTGTTTCACCACAGTGCACAAACATTAACCTTTCATTTTTAATTAAAACTCATGTGAATTTTCTCACCAACGTAATTCTAGTCAATTATATAGGTAACATGCTGCATAAAGCTGTTTTTATTTTGAGGAGAGAAATGTGTTCTATAATTTTTTGGTTTTTCCTAAATCAGCACTGATTTTTTTTTTTTTAAGTTGGTTAACATCTAACACCCAGTTCCTGGCTTCTAAGTACCATTTGCAAATTAAAAGAATCAGCTATTTGGAGAAATGGCAGATTCCGTGGCTGGATAGGGAAAAGTTCAAGATGAACCTGGGCCATCTTCTGGTATCAGAAGTAAGGAAGTGTTCAGAAAGTATGGAGGCCTGTCAAAAGGAAGGAGAGCTCACTGGCAGGAGTTCCCAATGGCTAAGGAAGGAACCATTTGACTAACAAATAGATTGTTACTTGGAGAATAAAATATATATCCATGAATCCAGTAAATAAATAAATGGGAAGAAGGAACAACTCTTCCTCATAGAAGAACATTCAACTAATAAATGTAGAGGGAATGAGGGAAGTACAAAATCACCATTAGGCAGGGGTGCCTGGCTGGCTCAGTTGGTGGAGCATGTGATTCTTGATCTCAGGGCCATGAGTTCAAGCCCCACGTTGGCCACTTTATTCTAGAAGCATTTTATTCTACATTTTAAAGCTTACTTTAAAAGCTTTTTAAAGCATTTTAAAGCTTACTTTAAAAAAAGAGAGAGAGAGAGAGAACTCACCATTAGGCAAATATGATAAGTAATAATTGTCGGAGACAAAATCCACTAATATATGCTAAAAATTAGTTGGTAAAAATGTTAGGAAATATAGAATATTATCATAGTCTCAAAGAATCTTCCCCAAAATATCAATCAAGTATGAAGGGGAAATAGCAGTTTTATAATGGAGGAACCCAGCAGACACTATCCTATTTGAGTAGTCTTAGTCAATTTCGCCAGTAATGAGTCATATCAAGACCATGTCCTCCCTGAGGAGGACCCCAAGTCACTTCTGTGTTGTTTTTGATAAAAATACATAACAAAAATCTGGTCGTGAGAAAACATCAGACAAACCCAAACTGAGAGACAGTCCGCATTTCACCAAGAAATAGACTCTTACCTCTAGAGAACAAACTGGTAGTTACCAGAGGGCGGGGGGAAGATGGGTTAAATAGGTGATGGGGGTTAAGGAAGGCACCTGTTGTGATGAGCACAGGGTGATGTATGGAAGTATTGAATCACTATATTGTACACCTGAAACTAATAAAACACGGTATATAAACTATATGGAATTTAAAATTAAAATAATAACTGATGTGTTCTTATCAAAAGTGCTGAAGGCATGAAATTCAGACAAGGAAAGAACAAAGAACTGTCACAGATGGAAGAGGAGATAACACAAGAAAATGCAATGTAGGCTCCCGGATTAAATTCTAAAGCGGAAAAAGAACACTGGGGGGAAACTGGTAAAATTCTAATAAGATGTGTACTTTAATATTGTATCACTGTTAATGTCTTGGGTTTTGATAATTGTGCTGTGATTACATAAGCTGTAAACATCAGGGGAAGCTGAATGAAGGGTACGTGACAACTCTGCAAAATTTGCAATTTTCCTGTAAGTTTAAAATTATTTCAAAATGAAAGGTTGCTTTTTAAAGGGTGCTCGTCACTTGTTTTGGCATTTATAGCCGATCTATATAAAGAGAATTTATCAGGATGAAAAGCAATTTTATTAACTACTGTGGAGAGAATAGATAAATGAAGCACATTTCAAAAGTGATTTAGCAATGCCTTGAATAATGCAGATAGTACATGGAAGCTAACAGCTGAAATGCTTCTAGAATAATCTCAATAGAAGAATAAATGTTGACCATTTTACTAGAGCAGTAGACATGAAACCATCCATGTGTATACAAAACTGAAATACTTAATAAAGATAGCTGATGTTTATTGAATCTTATTTGCCAGACACATTAAATTTTCTAGCAAGCTGATGAGCTAAATACCCGATCTGACCTCTTCAAACAGCCGGATCACTTCCACAAGGTTATACAGCTAACAAGAAGTGGGGCTGTGATTTTAACGCAAACCAATGGAGCTCTAAGCTAGCACACTTGACGATGAAGCTACATGACACCTTGAATCTCTGAGCTCTGAGTCTATTCTGTGGCAGAAATGCTAGGCTTGCATTTTACCACTTGCAGAGATGACTTAATGAAGACCAGCCAGCATCCAAAACTGGAGGAAGGCCTCCGGTTTGTGGCTGCAGAACAGTTTATGTCTTTGAGAAGCAGGGAATGATCACAACCTTGAGTTCATGGTCACCGCACGCTAACCCACTCAGCTAAATTGGTGAGAGCACGTTGATGTCACAGGTATGACGTGACAGCATCTCAACCCATCTGAGTGATGGGGCCCTTTGCGGGAGTCAGAGATTCAATCCAATATTAGAGGGTACCACGCTAAGCCGCATTCATACAGCAGAGGAGGAAGTCCCAGACCCCCTCAGGGGCCACTCGGCAGACTTGGTTTTGCGTTTCATAGCTGCCTTCTCTGGAGCTTTGTTCTATGTACTATATAAAAACCTCAACAGCCCTAATTTCCAGTCCCCAAAATGTCTTAAGAGTATGGGGAGGTTTCCATAAACGCAGCCTGTAACTTCAGTCTTGTGTTTCAACACAAACACATCAATCATTAATGAGGAGTTTGAGGCAAAGAAATACCTGGTTCTCATCCCTACAAAAAACAGCATATAAAAATAGAAAAGAAAAAAAAAAGAGCAAAGTTTCCTATGAAATAACTATATCTTGTTCTCCTACTATTGGCAACCTTAGCTTTCTTAGAGGTCAACTTTGCTGGCTATGTATGCTTAATCATGTTGGATAGTAATATCTTTTTAAATCTAAAATTTTGACATTTGTTTCAAATTCATAAAATGAAAAGTAAGAGGGGGTTTCCAGTCCACAACATGTGGGGGGAGGAAGAAATGAACACGAGTGCTTAGCCAAAAGTGATCTGAACATTCCTAACCCACTGAACTAGAAAACCTTAAAAGGGCTAACTTCTAAAATATGTAGTACCTAGTGGTGACAGCCAGCCCGGAGAAGTCGTAAGAATACTAAGCCAAATGTTAATTCCCTAATATTCCCACCATTTAAATCTCTGATGGAGGGAGTGAAAAGGGTCATTTCTGACTATTGAGGGACTTTTTTTCTAGCAGTTTCTGCCAAAGCTGGAAATAATAGTCACATGATTTCTGGTTAACATAATGAACTTCTGTGAACCTCAAAAAAACGTTGCAAGTTCACTTCAGTTTGGTGAGCTAACCAAAAGTGACTTTTAAATAAGAAATTTTAATTTTAAATTAATTTTAATTTAACAACCAGTGTAGTGTATTTCCGCAGAAAAGTCTGCGGAAATACACTATCCTCTTCACTGTTTCATTTGCTTTTATAGAGTATGATACATGAAGAACTGAGAGTCTGAGTTAATCTGACAAGCGTATATTTTCCTCAGCTTTTACTTGATCGGTAGTAAAGGTACCCGGCGCCCCCCCTCCACCCCCCGTGACTCCAGAATCTTCGAATCTTCCACAATCTCTGAGTCAGTGCTAATTAGCTCCGTGCCTCTGGGCAAGTCACTTAACATCTTTGGCCTCTGGTTTGTTATCTGCAAAATGAATGTTTGTGAGTAGACCAATTCTAATACAGAGTTCAGTTTTGAAAAAAAAAAAAAGATTCTAAATTTAAATTACATATTTACAGAAAACAGATACCGACATTTTAGGGTTTATGGGAATGTATTCTCTCAGAATATTTTATAAGTTTTGAACTACAGCTTTGTTTCTCTTTTATCTCAAGTGGTTAAAAAAGAATTCTACAGATAACTTGAGAGTGGTGTTAATCAGTTTACCCACATCAATAATTGCTGAAAGAAAAATAAGTTTGAATGTCAAGCTGGAATTTGGAAGCTCTAGGTCATATTGACTGTTTTGTCTCTGGCAGCCCAGTTTTCTACGATTCTGTGCGAATAAAAAGATCTTTTCCTAAGGGTCTTTCTTGAGCACTAAACTCATGATTAATGAAGCTTTGTCCTGAGACTAACAAGAAAAAAAAGAGATGGAGAAAGTATTTTATTTACGATTGAACCACAAAGCATTATTCATTAGATATGCCTTCTAAAATTGTTTGTCTCATTACATTTCATCAAACTAGTCTACATATGAAAGCCTTTGCCCTTCCTCCCTATCCTTGTCCTTTTTTTCTATAATCTTCTATCTGAATTGGCTAGGAAAACACAAACCTGTGATTGGACCTAATGTTTATCAATTTGGAGGACCTGATTCTCCCCTTACATATGACAAACTCTAACAACAATGGCCTGAAAGTTTTAGTCCGAAAGGGAGGGACTTTAACCTATGGCTCTGATTTTTTTTTTTTAATATATATATATATAAAGTCATTACAGGATAATAAACCAGACTTTTTTTTTATTTTTACATCTGCCTGATCAAGAAGAGTGAGATGCTTTCATTGTCTTCCCAAGCTCTGAAGAAACAAGATATTCCCAGCCCTTTACTTGAAAGAATGGCTTCTGATTAGCATAATCATTTCTTAAATATCACTTTTCAATCCTGTGTTAAAGAGAGCAAGTCAGCTTCATTCAAACTTTTCCTGAGCGATGGGGCCGTGTTGCTGTTGTTTAACCAAACTCAGAGACTAGTGTAATTAGCCTTCAGGAGCTGTGGGTCGTGGAGAGCAATTAACTTGGCTGGCCAAAAATGTTCTTCTTCTTTTTTTTTTTTTTTTTAAAGATTTTATTTATTTATTTGACAGAGAGAGGTAGAGGCACAGCGAGAGAGGGAACACAAGCAGGGGGAGTAGGAAAGAGAGAAGCAGGCTTCCCACCGAGCAGGGAGCCCGATGCGGGGCTCGATCCCAGGACCCTAGGATCATGACCGGAGCTGAAGGCAGTCGCTTAACCAACTGAGCCACCCAGGTGCCCCAAAAATGTTCTTCTTCTTTATGTGCTTTAAAAAGTCTATGTAAAATATGTTTGGGTCATAAATTGTCTCCTATCCATGTATGAGAAACAGTTACATGTTTTTAATCCTTTTTAAAAAATCTAATTTATTCTACAAATTAGTCAAATATGAAATTGAAACCAATGCCGTCTTTTGGAGGAACAGCAAGTCAAGCTTGTCAAGTTCTGACAGGAGTGAACCAGAGCCACCATCTAGGTATATGATTTGGACGAGCTGGAGCGGGAAAACGAGAACACAGTGCATTCCTACACAGGCCATTTCGTTTTCGTCACTGAGCCTTCCATCTGCAGTTCTTTCTCTACGTGGATACTGACAACGCCTGTTACATGATTATGAAATTAAAGTTATGTCTTCTATAAAATCAAGTCAAAGACTGTGACCTCAAAGTTTGATGTGTCACAAGATGTGTGACAAAACGCATTCATCAATAACCGGTCAAGTGCTGGAAACCCCAAGGGACGTGAGTTGTATTGCATGGCAGGGAGTCTGGGCTTTGGAAGTTATTTTGTAATTATTTGTTGTTGGTCTCCAGAGTGTATGTTTCATGTATTTCTTCCTTTTTACCCAGAATGTCATTTGGCCTGGGTGGTGAGAACAATGGGGCTGTGGGAAGGGGGTTCGTGCAGTTTTCACTGGAATCTAAGCAGTATCAGTAAGCAGTTTGTCTGAAAGCAATTCATGTAAAAACAAACAACTCTTTAGTAGCTGTTCCCATGGCTCAGAGACGTGACAGTATATTGACTATCAAAAACTAATGCATAGACTAATAACAAATGTTCTCCCAAGAAATTGTCTTTCTGAGATTTCCCCACACCTCCCTTTACATTAGAGCATCAGAAAAAACAAAAACAAAACAGTGAGTCAATCACCATCAATGATTGAAATAAAAATAAAAACTTGGGTTCGTGATGTGGAAAAATCAGGTAAAAGGTAGAGCAGGATGATACTTGGGTTTGAGTTGGCAGGACAACCCAGGAGGTCATTACTGATCAGTCATCAATAAATAGCCCTGGAGTGCTTGGATTGTGCCTGGGTTCACATCTGTCATTCTCAGTCCTTGACATTAGAAACGGGGGAATCATACTTGACTCTTATTACTCTCTCTCTCTACCTCTTCAATCACCAATTCTAGTATCACCTTCCAACTATTTCTTGCTTGTGATTTTTTTCCCCTGGATCTCTGAATGCTATACTGGGTTCATGCCCCATCTGCAAGGGTCTTGTTACTCCATCTAGAATCTTGTTTCCTTCAATTTTATCTTCCAAACACGCACTAAATGACAAATAAAATGCAAATGCCACAATGTCAGGGTATCCTCGCTTAAGACTCTTGCTTATGACACATAATCTGGCTCCTGTCTTCATCTCTTGCCACTCTGTGTCCCAAACATCAACCAAATTTAAGAATATTTAGCACCTATGTGCCAGGCACTGTGCCATTCATTATAGCAGTTCCAGAATTTAGCATGGTGCCTTCAACAAGAGAGGAACCTAATAAATATTTTCCCTCCTAAATATTTCTAGAACAAACTGCCTTCACTCCATGCCTGCTGACACCATCCAGCCAGAGTCAGAATCTGGTCTGGATGCTGTAACTCCT